TCCAGTTCCAAGGATCTTGCTTCGCATGATTGCCATGGGTTTTGAAATGTCATTTTTTGAGCCATGGATATCGAGAGATAAACTAGAAAGGGTAGGTGTTGCAATCTATTTCTTTAGTCTCCACTGAGTGTGTATGACAAGCAGGTAGAGGCAAACATTTTTTAAAACATCTTTTCGTCTGATTGTGAAATCGACCTCCTCTTTCATTGCAAAACAACACTACACATGCTAGGTAACATAGCAACCAGAGAACTTGAAACACTGAAGTTTTGAATGATAAGCATGTGACAATGCAACATATCTCACAACCTGTGCTTGCTCTACAAATTCATGAATTCTATTTTATTTTTAGTTTCATACGACTGAAGAGGTGACCCCTGGCATGCCTGGTTTGGAAGATCTTGGCGTTACACCCACTTCACTGGAAGCCGCTGCCATATTTGGTCTGCGGCGTCACCGTGCTGCTAAACACTTTGAAGAAGCTGTGGAAGAAGCGGAACCAGCAAAACCTATTATTTAATGTCACAGCGATAGGAAATTTATTATTAGTTTGCTTTTCAGAATGTAAAAAAAAATATTGGATTTTTTCCGTTTATTGCATTTGTGTAAAACACCCCACACTGAAATAATTAGTAACACTTTTAGAGAAAAAATGTCTATGCTCTACAGCAAGTTTACTGGGAACTACATCATTGTGTCAACTCCTTGAATGTATATCAGGACAGACCACACATACCCAGTCACATTTTGCAACTCAGTGTAGTGATTTCATTAAAACAATGTATAATATTACCAGTAATAGGAGTTTTGATCCTAATAAAAGACACTTGTGTTGACAAAGTCTCTTCTGATGAATAATCAAATATAGCAAGATATCATCTTTGTGGTTTTAGTATTAATGAGTCGAATACATTGTGAATAATGCAGTATTAAATTTACTGATCACTGGTATAGTGCTAGATGTTTTTGCATCAGACTCTTGATTGGTAGTTTAAATCCAACCATAAATTCCCATCCCATCCGCAAATATATGCATCTATTTTCAGTTTACTTCCAGACAGAATGGCAGTGATTAAACTTGAATTGTTAATTCCTGGGACTGAATTTAAAGTGAAATTGATGCCACAACCCTTAAAAATCTCATGGCTGCTGCCTCAGCAGACTAATTGTGTAACACGAGCTCCTTTGTGAATTGATTTCATTACCATGGAAGGAAGGTTCTTAGTTTTGATTTCATGTGCATGTTTAAGTGTAGGTAATTGCATGAGTTTGTGTGTTAGCACTAGGCATTTTGCCTACTGTGCTTAAGGACAGCTGTCAAGATGCTAATGATAGAGCAAATGGTGAATAAATATTTTATTGAACAACTTTCCCCTACTTGCATTTTGGTATATTTTTGCTTAAAATGACCCGTTACCATGAAGAGACCCCTCTTGCAATTAGTTGCAGGTCTAAATACATAATTGACTCTACTATTATCCCACAATCTGATGAAATAAATGCGCACACTACTTTGGCTCATTGCTGTCTGGTTGGGGCGAGGCATTTGCATGAACTCCAAGGTTCTATTCAGTGCAATGCTGTGCATCTCCATTCCAACCAAATCCCTTATTGAGTAGGGGGTTATAGGTACTCTCTCTATACCAAAGTCTTGGCTTAAACCCAGCTTGGTAACATTTTCAATAAAGAAACAACTCTCTCTCGTCTCCAAATTGTATGAATTACAAATCTACATTTGCCCAAAACAGATCATTACTAGAGTCTAGCATTTGAAAAATAACTTTTGTAGACAAATTCTCAGACGAACCAGAGTGGTAGCCAACATTACAGCAACAGAAAAATGTTTTAGGGACAAATTTAGCTGTAATACATAGGTTGCAAGTTGGTGCATCATGCTATTGAAAATTCCACCCAATTATTAAGCATGGTATTTTGCTACAAAACGCGTTGAAATAGATTACAGCGAAAACTAGTTAGGAATTGGCAGACACATAAATTTTGGGTGAATTTCAAACTCCACAAAGCACGTCAAAAATAGACAGTTGCCAAATCCTGGTCCATGGTTAAAGGGGACCTTTTTGTCTTTAGAAGGCAACTTATGAAAGTACTAAATATACCAATAAAATACCAAAACTGGATTTGGTAGAATAAATGGTTGCACATGCGTCGCAAATAACCTCACAACACAAAAAACTTTATCAACTCTACTTTACTTGATACAAAAGAAACTAAATTTATCAGTCTACAAACTAAACAAGACTTGCAAAGATACAATATACATACACAGAAATTTAGAATGAACAAAGGCTTTTCACTCATTGAGGCAGGTGGGGGGGGGGGTACTTTTGCACTGGAACATTCTACCAATCTGATCAACATTTGGGAATACGCACTAAAGTTTTATTTCTCAGATTGTAACTTGTGTCCTCATGGGATTCAGCAACCAATCTGCATTTACAGTACTTTTAAAATTAGCCTATGCAATACACAAAACACATTCTGATAGGTGGTTGATCAAAATATGTACAATGCAGTTAGAATGAAATTTAAAGTCGTGATACAAAAACTTACAGAGCCCATAATATCATCAAACTAGTCATTTAACACAATTTTCACTAAAACTGATCAGTAACGGAAATAAATGCCAATTTAAAAACTAATGTCCTATATCTAGTTTACATTTAAAAATGCATTCATAGGGAAGAAAATTGCGCGTAGATTTATTATTGGGAGATAGACGCAATACAGAACAGCATCATATAAACATGCACACTTATCAAAACAAGTGTTCAGTTCACTATAATGTTGATCTGTGCATCACACCTACTGTACATTGCTGGCAAGCTTAATCTGCCCTTTGAACACTAAATTGAACAAATTCATGCAGAGCCCCAGAGTAGAAAATCTCAAGCTCGAGTATTGTAATTGAATGTTACGGTGGGATGAATTTGGCATTACTATATTTGGCAAGTTTTACAAAGCTGACTCGGGTATAGCAGAATTTTATTACCGGGTAGGTTGTGTTACTCAACATAGCTGTAGAGGACCAATTATTACCATGTCAATACACAAGTTTAATTACAATCACATTTGGAACAGACATCTAACATTTTGATTAATATTGAGCAAATTCAATTTAACATTGATGTTTACAGAAATGGTTAGAACATGACAAAACAAAAGAAAGTATAACAATTCCTTTTAAAAAAATTTCATATTAAAAGAAAACAAGCTTTTATGATAGATAATCCGAAAATTCAGTCGCATTAATAGTTTTGAAGCCAAATGTATGTTAACTGCGGAAGTTACATGTCTAAGATTGCAAGACAATGTAAATACAAGCATCATTCATGTTTAGTGAAAACAATTTCAGTTGATTTGCTACATCCAAACATAGGAACAATTTTCAGTAAGTTTCTACTCCCACAGTTAAAATAAACTCCATGAAATAAAGCAATCTTCAGGAAGGAAAATGATAAAGTACAGTTGGGTAACCGATGAACATTTTATACCGAGTGAAGCACAAAGCAAAATTACAACTTCTTCATGGTAGTACACTGACAAATTAAACCCTTGTCAGTTTTTAACATTTAAATCGAAGGGACATGCCCATAATATCTCAAGTAACAGGAATTCAGGCATTCACGGTTCTTTAATATTTTTTCTGAATGAATTCAAACTGGTTAAAGCAAATTTTCGAAATTTTTTTCTTTTCAACCTCTTTTAATGGGTTAATAAACTTCAATAAATGACATTACACGAAATGTAACATCAGAAAAAGTTGGTTTGTCTTGACTTTTCTTTCTACTTCCCATACAACTCCAATCAATCAATCACTGTAAGAACAAAGAAAATTCAACACAAATAATTATTTATACCATTTAATATATAGCGCAGTTGTAATAGTTTCAAATGTAACTTATCAAACTGTTAATTTAATTGTGCTCTATATGTTGAGAGAAGAGTAATTGCCCTTTTCATATGCAATTGTGTAGTTTCTTCTTTCTGCACTGCTTTCCCTGGATCATGAAGTAGATTTCATTGCAGCGTATTGTTCATATTTGTTTGGGAAATAAAAATGATTCACAGCATAGCATTTTAGCTTTTATTTTTTTTTGCACCTACATTAATATATCGACCATTTGAAATGAACGAATCCATTATGGAAAGTTCAGATTTTTTTTTGCTGAATGAACGAATATACCCTTTTTCTTATATTTAACACTTAACTCAGTGAAAATAAATAAAATCAGTGAAAATAAATTCCACACAAAACGCCTTAACGACAATTAATTACAGCTAAAATAGATTATTTTACAGTGATCAAATAAAGCTATATCAAAATACTCGCCAATAAATGAAACACATTCAACATACCGACTTGGGCTTGGGCTTTTGCTGCGACTTTTGTTGTTATATGGCTTCCTGTATGGTGAACGGGAACGAGAGCGAGACCTAAAAGACAGGCAGATACAATTATTGGTTACGAGTGAATAACACACGACAGTAACCAGCAACGAGACCTAAATACAGAATATACGTAATGAATCAATCAACTCTACCTGTGTAATTCACATACAACAATGTGTCAGTAAGTATGCGAACAATGTTGTTTTCAAATTAGTAGGAGGGCTTGAAATTACTAGTAGTCCCAAGGCAAACTGAACGACAAATTTCTCGAAAGTAGCAGTCCAACAAGACTGTTTGGGAAATTTAAAAGAATCTATAGTTTTATCTTAATATATCAGTTTCTGTTTGAAACAAATCAACAAGATATGGATGGCTAACACCACCAATAATGAAATTTATTTTGATTCACATTTCAATGCATGGTTTTAAACATACCAAAACGACACTAAAACAAATGATAGAATACCAGACACTCCCTCGAGGCATAGTTATTTCAAGCCCTGAGAAGTGTACATTCCAACAACAAACTACTAAATACATACTAATTGTGTAACTTTTATCAAAAGACCAATGTATGAAATTTGAAACCTTAGTTCCCACTCAAATTCACAATTCTTGATTTGTTATTTTATTTTACAATTTAAGTAAACATGTACATGTATTTCTGGTGCATGCAGTATAAAATGCAGGTGAAACCTTTGCAAAAACCTTGATTCTGACCAGGGCTATAAATTGACCAAGTGAATCAAAGCTGACTTTTTACATACTGACCCGGGCTTTGGGGTGATGAAATGACCGACTGACTCAAGGCTCACTGAAAATGAAGAGTAGACATAGAAGTGACTCTGCCCCTCAGCTCAGCTGTTGACAGGATGAGCATTTTGCAAAAGACGTGTGATGTGCTGGGAAGAACAAGGCCTGGACTCCGGATTCAGGATGCCATATGATGAACTCATCATGACCGATCACTTGTCTGCACCATGATCACATGCCGATAGAACTAGCAGACAAGCTTACTAGCCGACAGCCTGTAACAATTCAATTAATAAATTTCAAAGCTGTGTAAAACAAATATGTTGAATGCATAAAATGTGCAGTCATCGCCTAAATTGTCAGCCTCTTCCAAGAATGATGAAATGTTCCATCTCAGTCAGGAACAACGACTTTGTTGAGAGAAATCATCTGAAGCTGAACTGAAGGCACTGTCATACATACATATTTGTATAAAGTCTGAATTTATCAATAAAATTGAAACATTTGCATTGCGTAAAATGTTGAATACTGTAGATAAATTGATCTTGCCGGAAACTAAAACTGGAAAAATAAAATAATCTATGTAATTGGATTATTTTTAAAAGAGACTAAGTTAATGATATGCAAGGGGAGTTGTGTTGGTAATCAAACTTGGCTAACAGGAATGACTCAGTCAAAGAACAGACCTTGATTTGCAGCATACAAAGCACAAAGATATCCTTAGTAACCATTTGTCATCTGCATGTGATATCTTTAAATTTCTGATTTTGGACAAGACTGACCTAAACTAATTATGGCTCACATCTACCCTTGACAAGATGTTATGCTGTATTATCCTACTCACCCGATAAGACTAGTTTCATAAGAAATCGTGGGCAGGCCAGGCTGGTCAAAATATCTGTGCAACTGAATCCTTCAGTCTCAAACTGAATATCATGCAAAATTGATAACCCTTTTATTAATGCTTACGGTGATCTTCTGTTAGAGTATCCTCTGCTGCTGCTACTGCCGCCGCCACCACCGCCGCCGCCACCACCTCCACGGTTAGAATAACAATCCCTGGCAAAATGTCCGTGCTTCCCACATTCGTAGCAACGTTCTTCAGAGAAGGATCTGCGCTGCGGTGGACGTCCCCCTCCCCTTCCACCACCACCACCTCCCCTACGGCTTTTACCAGAGGATAGCTCAACTCTTACTTCAACTCCACATACTCTTCTACAACAGAATTTAACAAAATAAAATGAGTTTATTACAATAGAGTGAGACATGTACACAAAATGGTGTAGTCATACCCCCTTGTCTATTTATACTTGTGCAAACCCAGAGAGAGCAGCTTACTAAATACAATAAACAGTCGCTGGTTCCCAAGTAAATATGTAGACGATTCACTGTTGGAGCTTTATTGTCAGTAGAACTTGCTTACGATTATCGTGACCGAAAATCAACAGTGTTTGCCTAAACAAAACTGAACCCAGTTCCAATTCTGGTTTGGGTTCACATGAAACGTAACTAATCTAGGAAGCTTGCAGTGTTTACTTTTTTTTATTTTATTTTGAGTATACTATATGGTCTAGTCACTTCCACAAACATATCTACTGGTACACAATTCTCACAGACTGACCGGAACAGGAAGTCAGTAGAAGACAAAAGATTTTTCCCGTTAGCTAGGAGGAAATTTGGTTAGCTTGGGGGAAAACAGAGGTGTTAATCCGAAAATTCATTGTCTTTTCTTGTTTGTGATTGGTCCTGGCAACGTTTAAGGGGATCGCGACGTAGCTCCGACTGTGAGAATGTAACTGGCCTTCCAAGACAAAGCCTCCTAACTTGGTATCTATAAATCTAGCTTAATTTAAAAGGCTCACTTAAATTCATATTCTACAATTTCTCATTAACCATTCATGATCTTAACATTTGATGGTAAATAATACCTCACTTTAATTTATTCAAACACATTGAAAAAAAAGGCAAATTGAAACAAAGGAGATCAGATGAACGCTATCAGTAACAAAATAAAGATTTGTTAGACTGATTTTTTTCAGCTTCATGCTGCTACGACTCCAAGATATAAATAATATACGTCTTGAAATAAAACGTGTATTTTTTGCCAATTCCTTTGTTTCCCACCTTTTATCCAGCCCCCTTATGGCATCACTCGCATCTCTTGCATCTTCAAACTCTATAAAAGCAAAACCGGGAGGGTTTCTGGAAACCCACACATTACGCAATGGACCATAGTAGCTGAACGCCTTCTCTAATTCGTGCCTAGTCCCGTTCGTTCCAAGTTCGCCGACATATACTTTGCAGTCCAAGGGGCAGGCATCTCTGAAGGACATGTTTCCTGTTCGAGGAAACAACATGATTAAACCCACTCTGTCTACACCAACAGAGTACGTGAATTAAAACATTGCCAGTGTTGAATGAGTAGAGCCCTGCCGCCATTGCAGATTTCTGGACAACAAATTGTGTTTTCATTGTTCTACGAAAAAAAAAGCAAACCGAATATTAAGGGACACCGAGAGTCAAATCTAGTTATAAACACGTACATATCAAAACACGATGTGAATATTTAAAAGAATAAGTGCAAAATATACGACTGGGGCTTAGGGCGTGTGTTTAAAGCTGAAAATTACAGTGACGATGGCGCCGCCATTATTTCGCATGACATGCGTGACATAGAATATTTAAAAAAAAATACGCTCTGAAAATTCTACGTCTCGTAACGCTGTTGTGAGGTTATATGAATCAAATACAATACTTATAAACAACAAGAAAACGATAACGTGTAAATATATTCACGTCGTTGGATATTTGAAACGATTTTTCTTACAAACCTTGCTTTCGTCGTCTCAGCTCAAAAATAAAATGCTGTGAAAAAAGTCTCACAAAAATACCGATAGAGGTCTCACTCTTGAGTTACAGCGCCCTCAACTATGCATAATACAGATTTCGTCATGTTCTTAAATTTTAGTTAATACTTTTAGAATAGTCATCAAGTCGACAATAATAGCCTTATATTCGTTTATCAAGAGTCATTAAGCAACATTGGGCTGTAATACTTAGTTCACATAGTAATTGATCACATATGTCTTCATGAATAAAAGTTTAACTTGTGAAATTGGCATTCTGCCAGATTAATATAAGTTTACTTACTGACCTAATAATTATGCAGAATTGTTTGTTAGTGAATTTAAGAAAGCTTAAAAGGAACTTCCTTGTGTACATCTGTTGTTAGCAGTTATTCCAGAGCACCTCTACCATAAGTTCAATCTAAATTTCATTCTTTTGAGATATCAGAAATTGGCTAAAGTAATAAAAAATAGGTACTGTCAGAGGTACATTACTTGGGGTTTGCAACTCGCATAGTACTGTATGGTGACATCTTGTCAAGATCCCATTCAAGTTTCTTCTCGTAGATAGCGAGACTGAGGCTACGACCTTCTGACATGACGCATATCAATGTTCAAGGTTTGTAATGAAAAAAATAAACTTTTCTTGTCACTATCATAGTGAAAAATGTAATACATCGAAAATGTACAGAAAATATAGTTCTCGTAATCCGTCATATCGTGGGCAGCTATTTTGATCCACCTGGACATCCCAATATCCGAGTTACCTCGGGCATGCGCATTCGTATTTTTTCTGAGTTGGAACGCTTATGCGAGAGCGAGATTGTGACGGGATCTTTGTATCATGTCACCGTAGTTACAAACCCCAAGTAATGTACCTCTGGTACTGTAAAATACTTTATTTTCGCTGAAGGAATGATTCCGTGAAAATAAAATCCAGCGAATATACTTTATTTTCTATATTTCACATTAAACTCATCAAAAATCAGTGTAAAATAAATTCCATACAAAACGCCCAAAAACATTTTCAGCGAAAATTAATTCCAGCGAAAATATTCCACAGTAATCAATATGCATGGTTATCAACATAAACTAATCACGTCTGTGCATTAACTCAAAGCATCTATGATTATTATGCAAATTAGGTAATTAGTATGCACCCTAAACTAATCAGGTCTGTGCATAGTCCCGGGCACATATATACATATATGACTAGTTGAGATACAAGTGGGAAAGACAAGGATAAATTTATCATTATTAGATAAATAATATGAACAATATTTGAACCCAAACTGATCAGGTTCTTCAGATACTGTCATACGCAACATAATATTACCGTAATTGGTATAGTACAGGTGTGATGGTTCAAATACCAAAATGGCAACAGTAACAGAAAGACTTCCCTGGCGGCGATGATAAAATACGAGCACGGAGCCAACAGATGAGGTTTCAACTGGTACTGGTATTATTATACTCTGCAAACATCAAGTACAATAACGCGGTAAAACTCCACTACTCCAATAACTAGATACTTAAACTCCAATACAATTCAACGAGATCTCCGATCTGAACTCAGTGCTGAACAACTCCCCTATATATACCCCCACTGTCAATAAATAGACCATTACATCAGCATACATATTGAGCCTGGAACTTACTACACATTTCTAGAATGTTCCATTACCTTCTATTGCCTCCTACAGTGTTCTATTACCTATTCAACCATTTTCTAAAAAATATAGAATATTCCAGAATCCACCCAGACACAGTACGGTTCTAGAACATTCTCAGTGACACGGAAGTGGTAAATAAGT